TTTGTTTGTTTGTTTGTTTGTTTGTTTATTTTAAGGCATGTGGATGTTTGAATGAGAGTGGTCTCCATAGGCCCATATGTTTGAATATTTGGGTCCCATTTAATGTAACTATTTGGAAAGGATTAGGAGGTGTGGCCTTGTTGGAGGAGGTGTGTCCCTGGGGGTGAGCTTTGAGGTTTCAAAAGGCCTACCCTAGATCCCCCTGCCTATCTTTTTTGGGATCAGATGTGGATTCTCGGCTACTCCTCCAGCATCCATCCTGCCATCCTGCCATCCTGCCATCCATCCTGCCATCCATCCATCCTGCCATCCATCCATCCTGCCATCCATCCATCCTACCATCCATCCATCCTGCCATCCATCCTGCCATCCATCCATCCATCCATCCATCATCCTGCCATCCATCCATCCTGCCATCCATCCATCCATCCATCCATCATCCTGCCATCCATCCATGCTGCCATCCATCCATCCTGCCATCCATCCATCCTGCCATCCATCCATCCATCCATCCATCATCCTGCCATCCATTCATCCTCCCATCCATCCTGCCTGCCATCTGCCTGTCATCCATCCTGCCTGCCATCTGCCTGTCATCCATCCTGCCATCCATCCTGCCTACCATCTGCCTGCCATCCATCCTGCCTGTCATCCATCCTGCCTGCCATCTGCCTGCCCTCCTGCCATCCTGCCTGCCATCCTGCCTTCCTTTGCCTGCCTGCCACTGTGACTCCCAGTAGAATGACCATGGATTCATCCTATGAAGTTGTACACAAGCCTTCACTTAAATGCATCCTTCTGTAAGCTGCCTTGGTCATGGAGTTTCTTCACACAAATAAAACAGTAACTAAGACAAAGCATTTACAAATTTTAAATTATTTACTATATTTTATGTTTATGAATGCTTCGCCTGCAGGTCCTATACAAATGCAACATGTACCTACCTGGTGCCTTCTGAGGTCAGAAGAGGGCATCAGATTCTCTAGAACTGGAGTTGCCAGTGGTTGTAAGCCACATGAGGGTGCTGGGAACTAAACCTGGGTCCTCTTCACGAGCACCCAGTACTCTTAACCTCTGAGCCATCTTTCAGCCCTCACAGAAAAACTTTTATTAAATACATTTTTTTTTTAGATAGGGTCGCACTATGTAGTTTTAGCTGGCCTGGAACTTGCCATATACATCAGACTGACCTCCAACTCAGAGATCCACCTGCCTCTGCCTCCCAAGTGCTGGGATTAAAGGTATGTATATGTGGCCCTGCTTTTTTTCTTTTCTCTTTTCTTTTCTTTCTTTCTTTCCTTCCTTTCTTTCTTACATCTGTCTTACCAGTTTTAAGGATGTCAGTCATGAACCTTGTGATGAGTAAGTTAAAATATTACTTTCCCTCTCTTAAACCACATCAGGGGCTGGAGAGATGGCTCAGAGGTTAAGAGCACTGACTACTCTTCCAGAGGTCCTGAGTTCAATTCCCAGGAATGCCAGTGGGGCTCACAACCATCCGTTATGAGATCTGGTGCCCTCTTCGGGTGTGCAGATATAGATGGAAGCAGAATATTGTATACATAATAAATAAATAAAATCTAAAAAAAAACACATCAGAAGGAGTAAAAAGAAAGCTGGAGAGATGGTCCTCTTGCAGAGGACCCAGGTTCAGTGCTCAGCACCCACAACGGTCTATTTGTAACTCCAGTTTCAGAGGATGTGAAGCCCTCTTTTATCTCTGCAGTCACTGAACACATGTAGTACCCTAACATGCCTGCAGGCAAAACACCCATACACATAAAGTATAAACAAATCTTTTAAAAAAGGAGTGAAAAAAGAAAATCTAATTTTATTTAGCCTAACATACTCAAGACATTACTTCAACGTGAACTCAATGTGAAATTAAGATTTTTGTTTACTATTTTTTAATTTTCTGCCACAGGCTCTTAGTATGTAGCCTTGGCTGTCCTGATACTCACTATACAGACCAGGCTGACCTTGAATTCATAGAGCTCTGCCTGCTTCTGCCTCTTCAGTACTGGGACTAAAGGTGTGTGTCATCATGCTTAGATATTGATTTACTTATTTTTAATTTGTTTATTTTTAAGTGTGAGTGTGCCTGTGTGATGTTTGTGGGTGCCTATGGAGTCTACTGGGGCGCTGGATCCCATAGAGCTGACGATACAGGTAGCCCAGCCACCTGACATGAGTGCTGGGAATTGAACTTGGTCTCCTGGAAGAGTAAAACATGTTCTTAATTTCTGAGTCATCTCTGCAGCCTGCTATTAATTTTTATTAAGACATGATTGTGCCTGGCATGGTGCCCATTCTTTTAAGGAAGAGGCAGGTAGATTTCTGTGAGTTCAAGGTCAGCCTGGTCTACAAATTGAGTTACAGGGTAGAAAGAGCTATTATACAGAGAAACCCTGTCTTTAAAAACCAAAAACAAAAGCAAAAAGAAAGAAAGAAAGAAAGGAGAAAAAAGGAAGAAAGAAAGAAGAAAAGACAGTATTGTGTATCCCTGCTGGCCTTGACTTTGAGGAAGATGACCTTCAAGTTCTAGTCCTCAAAAACTTTTTTGGTGACAGTGTCTCTCTACATAACCCTGACTGTCCTGGAACTCACTATGTAGACCAGGCAGGCCTCAAACTCACAGACATCTACCTACCTCTGCCTCTCAAGTGCTGGGATTACAGGTGGCACTACCATACTTGCCCTATTTCAAATACTTAAAAGCTACATGGGGCTAGTGGTTATTGTGTTGTGCAGAACAGTGTAGACGAGGGTCCAATGCTACATGCTCATCAACAGTAGGATTGAACATTACTGCTTGCTAGAGTCAGGCAGGGCATGATGACACAGGCCTGTAATCCTAGGACTTAGGAGGCTAAGGTAGGAGGAATTCAAGATGAAGGCCAGCCTGGGTTATAAAGTGAAACTTGGAAGGGAGATCCTTCAGGAACCACTAACTATATCTGAGTTTTCCTGCAAGGAGTGTTACCCATAATACTCACACAAATACATTTGACTCATATCTCCTAAGTGTTAACTTGGTAACTGCCTCTGGTGAGATTTTGCAGCCCAAGAGATTTTTATGTCCCTAAGGAGTGAAGTGGAAACAATAAGGAAAACAACAACATGAAACATTTTGGCCTTTTTTCCCCCCGGAAAAGACATGAAAGAAATAAAGCAAGCAAGAAGCCCCAGTCTGGGGAGAAGCATACTCAGGAGGCAAAGTGCCTGAGTGCAAAAAACATTGATCTGTTTTCTGGGGCCATCTTGGATATTAATTCCCATGAAATTCTGGGTCAAAATATCAAGACTATTCAAAGTTAAGCAGACAGTATATCTTGATTAGTACAGCATTTGTTTAACACGTATGAAGCCCTGGGTAAATTGTCAGCACTACAAATATGTATGCACACACAATAGCCAAGGTTACTTTCTACTGATTTTTTTTAAGGTAGCGTTTATGCAGATTCATAGTGTTTAGCATTCATAACACTTAAGGTGTTTGTGAAGTGAAAGAGCATATGGCATGGACTTTCTCTGTAATTCCTAGTTCTTGAATGAACAATCAACCTAAACTACCAGTTTTGAAATGCACCTGTGACCACATAGGTGATGGCTCTAAGGGAACCAAGATTGTCATTATAGGGGCAGCAGCTAATAATGCTATTTGATATTTTCTGACTCCCAAGGAAGGGCAGGAGCCTTTCTCTCCATTCAAACTTCAATCCTCCCTCTCTCACACAACTAACAGCATGGTTGAAGACCACTCTTATTTCCCAGCTAGTATGTCCATTGACATTCAGTCACTATTAAGAAAATATTTTTTAAACTCTAAAACCATCGACATGGCAGTTGCCAATCTCTGACCTGAATTAGCTATTGTCTGGACCCCTTGGGACTTGAAAGTAACACAGTGAAGGCATAGTAATAAACATCAGTTTAATGAACCAGTAAATAGCTTGCTGTAAGGAGCAAATGATGCAATACCTGTAGGGTTTGACACAGGATCTGGCTTGTAGTAAATACATGTCCAACTGATCCTAATTGTCCCTGTTCTACATTGATAACAACGAAATAACCAGCTACAGTGGAGAAGGACCTTGGGCGTTTTGTTGCTGCCACATTTCACAGGTGAAGTGAGGCGGGATGAGCTCAGAATCCTCTTTCAGTATTCCGGAGTCAGGAGAGGAGAGGGAATGGGGACCTAGAGGGTCTCAGGAGAGAAAAGCAGGTGATTGGAGGCTTGTCTCCGGGAAGCGAGGGGCGTGGTCTGCAGGGCCGCACTGGTGGGAGTTTGGAGAACAGTTATGATTGGAGGAGGTCGGGCTTGAGGGAGGAGCTATGGAAGTTTAGGGTGCAACTTAGAAAAGAGGCCAGTAGGAAGAGACCCTAGGGAATTGCGGGCTTGGGCTCTGTAAGGCGGGGAGGTTGTGCTGAACAGAAAAGAAAAGGTGTGTGTGGGGGAGGGAGCTAAAGGTGTAGTTAGGTGGGACTTTAGTTGCCGTAAAGTCCCACCTTCTAAATTTTCCTTCTAATGGAAGGAAAATTCTTCAAAAGGACAGGTCAAGGAGGAAGAAAGACTGGAGTGAGGAGAGGAAGGTGCGGTGGCAGGGAGCGAGGAACGGACTAGAGTCGCCAGGGGAGTTCAGCGGATGATGTAGAATGGCTCACCTGTCTCCGGCGTCGCAGCCTCAGCTCTGTGTCGGGCCGGCTCACAGAACTTCCCCCGGAGCGCCAGTGGCTCCTGTGATCCCTCGAAACCCTTAGCGGCGCGCCCAGGCTGCTGCCATGGCAACGGAGTAGCGCGCCTCCTTGCCCGCGGGGCGGGGTGGGAAGTGCGCCACGGCCAGGGGGCGTGACCGGAAGTGTGTTCACTAGCTTCCGCGGCTTTTCTCTGGGTCGCCGCCATCTTCCCATTGCGTTGTAGCCTTCGTGTGGGGAGCTCAACCTTGCCGCTGCACCGGTTGTCGCCCTGAGGCGGACTGGCAGCCCTGAGCGTCGCAGTCATGCCGGCCGGACCCGTGCAGGCGGTGCCTCCGCCGCCGCCAGTAGCCACTGAACCCAAACAGGTACCGCGCCCCGAGCTCCTCAGCCTGCAGTCCCGGTGTAGGCCTCGTCCCTCCCCTCCCGCGCGGGCGCTACGGCACTCCCGCTGGAAAGTTCAGGCTGCCCTGAAGGGCTTGGAGGGACTGCAAGTCCCAGGAGTCCGCGCGCCGCGTTGCTTCTGGTCCCCCCCAAACTCCCCAGAGCCGAAATTCTCAAAGTAGCCTGTGGACTTACAGCCTCAGCTTCACCTGGGGGCTTATTAGAGTCATGAAGCCTCCACTCTAAACCCAAGTAGGAATATGTGTTTTAGCCATTTCCTAAATTATCTCGTTAAAATGTGAGAAGCATTGGGCCAGCCTGTTCACCGTCGCAGTGGAGCCTACCAGTCGCTTATCCTTTGTCTAGTAATCTCTCATTTCCTAGCCTGCTCTATTTTTTTTTTGTTGTTGTTTTTAAACACCTCCGAGGTGCTTTCCCTAAACCGGACAAGGTACCAGCCTTCATCATTACAGAATGAATGTGGCATAGCTCCTGCCTTAAGAGAGAGCCCAGGCTAGTGAAAATACAGATTTGCACAAATACTCAATGTTTATTGTCTTGGTCAGTGTAATGATAAAGTGTCAGGCAACCTTTAAAAGCTCTAAAGGCTGGGCATATGACACACATCAGAAATCCCAGCATTTGTGAGTTTGAGGTAGGAAGATCGTTAATTGAGTAGTAGTTTGGACTACAGGGTGAGACCTCAAAGCTCACAAATAGCTGAGGAGGAAGTATGTGGGTAAATAATTGCAGTTAAGTTGAATACAAGTAAACCACGAATTTAATCAGCATTACTTAATAAATGTAAGGGAAGTAAGTCCACAGGAGTGAGAGGTGAGTGGCTATTTTAGAAGAATGAATAGTGATGAAGATGGAGAATGAAGAGTGATGGGAAAAGGAAATTATTTATTCAACATACATTTATCAGGCACATACTCTATGCTTATTGTTGCTTTGGGTTCAGAACACAGTCTCAAACATGACAGAGGAGGCCCATGTTCTTACTCCAAACATTTATGTATTTGTGTGCCTATGTGTATTTTCCTTGACACTGGGGGAAAACAGACAAGGTGATACCAAATAAATATAGTTAAAAATAGTTAAAAAACCACCAAAGTAGGAATCAGGTGGTCCCTCTTTTGTCAGAGGTTCATGAACAAGTGTGGCTCAAATGCAGGTTCGGGATAATGGTGGTAGGAGATGCAGTTAGGATTTGAATATGTCCTTGAAGACTGGGAGATATTTTAAGTTGGATAGTGACATTTGTGTTTCAAAAATTTAGGCTTGCAGTGATCTAAAGAGAGAGGAAAGAGAAACAGTTATGCTATTCAAAAGACACTGAGGGTCTGATCTAGATTGGGGCAAGAGGAATGGGCATGTGATTGTCACAGAATGACTGTTGACATAGGTTCTCCGGCCAAAGTGATGTGCTAGAATCCTGATTCTGCCTGTAGGGGAAGGCACAAGTTTGTTATTCCCCTGTTGTCTATAATATGGGAATAAGAATACCTATTCAGGGGGCTGGAGAGATGGCTCAGAGGTTAAGAGCACTGAGTGCTCTTCCAGAGGTCCTGAGTTCAATTCCCAGCAACCACATGGTGGCTCACAACCATCTGTAATGAGATATGGCACCCTCTTCTGGCAGGCAGGGATACCTGCAGATAGAAAACTATATAATAAATAAGTAAATCTTTAAAAAAAAAAAAAAAAAAAAAGAATACCTATTCAGGGTTGTCATCAGGATCCTAAGAGTTAATACAGCTCATGTGCCTGACATGTACTTTGTGTTTGGTGAGACTGAGGAGGCCTGGATTTCTGGCTTATGTGACTGGAAAACCATTCTAGGTTAGAGATGAAAGTGCCTTGGAGTCTGTTTAGTCTAAAGCTTGTTGGGAGATTGATTTAGGCAGAATTTTTCAGCCTAGAGTAGGGAAAGGAAATGTAGAATAGAGTTTTCAAGGGTGTCTGGGTGAAGATGGTGTGAATTCTGAGAAGAAATTATAAACATACATGTTTAGAGCAGTGATTCTTGACCTTCCTAATTCTGTGACCCTTTAATACAGTTCTTTGTCATGACCTCAAACCATAAAGTTATTTTAATTGCTATTTCATAACTATAATTTTGCTACTGTCATTAATTGTAAATATCTGATATGTAGGATTGTCTTAGGTGACCCCTGTGAAAGAAGGGTCATTCAATCCCCACAGGAGTCACAAAGTCACATCCCACAGGTTGAAAACTTCTGGTTTAGAGGTTTCCAGTGCTGTAGGTAGGAGGTAAAATACATAAGCCAGAACACATAGAGGCTCCTGAAGCTGTAGTTGACTTTAGACAGTTATTTTTTACTTTGCCAAGAATATTTGAAATGAGCACTTGAGAGGCAGAGGCAGGTGGATCTCTGTGAGTTTGAGGCCAGCCTGGTCTACAGAGTGAGTTCCAGGAGAGTCAGGGGTGTTACACAAAGAAACACTGTCTCAAACAAACAAAAAGGATACTTGAAGTAAATGAACCAAATAGGAGATGAAATAGGAACTCAGTATGTTCAGCTGCCAGAGGAAGAACAGGGGAAGCAGCCCAAAGGAACATGCAGGCGGAGAGAAATCTTGTTTTTCTAAGATGAGATCTCAGCTCTTAACTGAGAGGAAGAAGATGGTGGATAAAGTACCAGGGATAAAACATTCAACTCCTTTGAAGCTCCATAAACCATTTATGAATTTAACAGTAGCTGGGTTTATAGATTGGATGTATAAAAAAGTGGACAGCCAAGACAGAATGAGCTATCAGCCAGACTTTTTCTTCTTTTCTTTTCTCTGCCTTTATTTCTATTTGTGCTGAGTATAGAACCTAGGACCTCATGCAGGGTAAACACATTAGCCACTGGTCTGGTCTCTCTGGCTTTCCTGCTTCTTCTTTTTTTGTTTGTTTGCTTGCTTGTTTGGTTTTTCCAGACAGGGTTTCTCTATGTAGCTTTGGACCCTGTCCTGGAACTAGCCTTTGTAGACCAGGCTGGTCTTGATTTACCTGCCTGTCTCCCAAGTGCTGGGATTAAAGGCATGCGCCACTGCCACCCAGCGGCTTTCCTGCTTGTTAACAGGCAATCCTTAAGTGTTCATTCCAGACACAGTACTAGGTTCAGGGCTAAAGACATAGCCTTTTGGATTCTGGTTTCTTAGATTGTGGTCAACATCCTTGAGTCTAAATCACATGGACATTGGGTAAGAATGCAGATTTGGAGGCTAAGGATATTGTTCAGTGCCTTGCTTAGCATGTGTAAGGCTCTGAGTTTGAGCCCTAACTCTTTGGCAAGTAAACAAAAAATGTGTATCTGATCACACCAGATGTCTGTCTAAAGGAGAACCAAGGAAGCCATTGTTTTCCCTAATTCTTTGGAATGGCTGCATAAGTACGTATAAGAAGTCTGCAAGACAGAGTCGTGCCAGTTGTATCATGGAGCAATGCTGAGGGCTGGTATAGAGTTTATGACAGCCGAACCCAAACCAGGAACTTGAAGATCTTATTTCCTTTTTCTGTTTTCACAGCCAGTTGAAGAAGAAGCATCATCGAAAGAAGAATCCACCCCTTCCAAGCCGGTGGTAGGGATTATTTACCCTCCTCCAGAGGTCAGGAATATCGTTGATAAGACTGCCAGTTTTGTGGCCAGGTAACAGCTGCTTCTGTACAGTGGGTTGGGGAAAATTGTAGTGTAAAAGGCTTTTGAATCACCATAAAGACAGCATGGGTTTTTTTTTTTTTTTTTTTTTTTTTTAAGATTTTATTTATTTATTATGTATACAACATTTTGCTTCCAAGTATATCTGCACACCATATCTCATAACGGATGGTTGTGAGCCACCATGTGGTTGCTGGGAATTGAACTCAGGACCTCTGGAAGAGCAGTCAGTGCTTTTAACCTCTGAGCCATCTCTCCAGCCCCCAGCATGGGGTTTTATAGAGGCTCTAGCTTAGGCTTGTTCTTCCAAAACCAAAGTAGGGCAGTGGGATAGGCAATAGACAGGACTGGTGTCTTTGGCATACCACAACAGTAACCACAGTGAAAGCCATACCCAGCTGTATAGTCACTAGGAGTTTCTGCTTCCAGAACAAACCTGAGGAAGTTCCTGGTAGCTTCTTTTAACTGGTGATGTGAGTATGCTGTGTTTGAGCTGCTGGCCAGAAGAAATAGAAAACAGAGTTGATCATTCTCATTGTATAAGGACTACTTTTCCACAAAGCCTCAGATGATCATTTATAGATGAGTCAAGCGAGATAGATAGCTGACAGGACTGAGTGAAGCTCAGTTATGTTGTAAACATTTAGTTATCTTCCTGGGCTAAGTGAAAATTGGTCAGGATTCCTCCCAGTGTCCTCATTCTACATCCTTAGATGTAATCTTTAGGACCACTTGACTCCAAAGGTCAACACATCCCCTGGCTTAGGTCATTTATAAAGTATTCTTTTGGCAATCCACAGATATATCCAGTCTACAGATGTTTTGTTTGTCCTTAGACTCTTTTTTTTAAAAAATTCCTATTTCCACACTTTAAAATGAGGGGATTTCACAATCTGTCTGGATTTCTGGCTTTTCTTGAACTAGACTGCTTCTTACATGATAGTCAGTACTACTTGGCCCTGAACAGTGTCCAGGGGCATGTGCCGTATAAGGCCCACACTTACAGTCAGTCACTCCCCTGAGGTAACATCTCTACCACTTTGTATTATTTAATAGATGTTTCTTTCTCAATTTCCTAATCTAGTGAAATATCAAAAGAGATTCTGATTGACATCTTTCACAGTGTCCACTCCATGAGAGTTCATGTCACTTTAAGGGCTTTAATTAACTTGGATTTTCACTTAAAAGCTACCTAAGATTAGGGCATTGGGTGTTGTGTTTATTTGGCTAATGTTTCATAGCAAACTTAATGCCTTTCCCCTTTCTTCTGTGATTTTAGTAATTAGGGAAAGGATGTTGCATAAGCAATAAGTACAGTCTTAACTGTTGGGACAATTCCTGTACTACTAGCACAAGTACTATCATGTCTTGGTTTTCCTTGTATGCTAAATTGTAAACTTCCTTATATTACTCCATGATTTCCCTCATGCTGCATGTTTTCTATGGAGAGGATGCAGGGTGTCCAGGCTATGTTTTCTTTAGATTGCTTCCAGGTTTCTGATTGGTCATTGAAGGTGTAAGAGGAGTTTGAACATTGTCTTTCCCTCTTAGAATTTTCTTTAGAAGAAAATTCCATGTGAAACATTAGTTGCTTAAGAGAGCACTAAAGAAAAACTGCTGGGGACTAGGGAGATAGCTCAGTTCAGTAAAGTGCCTGTCACAAAAGTATAAGAACTTGGGTTTGGATTCCTGGCATTTATGTAAAAGCAAGATTTAGCAATGCCTACATCTGGAAACCTCAGTACTGGGGAATGGAGACTAGCAGATTCCTGGAACCTGGCTAGGTAGTCTAGCAAATCTATTAGCTTCAGATTTGATGAGAAACCTTGTTCCTTCCCTCAAAAACTAAAGTGGAGCCAGTGTGTTGATGTATTCTGAAGACAGGGACATGTCAATCGGTGGAGTTTCAGGCCATCCTGGTAGCAATTTCAGGCCAGCCAGACACTATCTAAAATAAATATGTAGATAAATGTAAATAAGATGGGAAATGATAGACACCTCACATCAGCCCCTGGCCTGTGCGCATGGACATGTGTGCACAGGTGTATGCACTTAGAAACATCTCAATTTCTCACGTAACTTTCCAATAATTGTGTCATCCTCTGCTGCCACAGACAAAAAAAAAAAAAAAAAAAAAAAAAGCACAACTGGAGTTCTCTTAAAAAGAAAACCCCATCAATGGTATAGTGATGCACACCTGTAATCCCAGTACTAGAGAGAACTGTTGAAAGTTGGAGACTAGTCTGGCTACAAGGTAAGCTCTATTTAAAAAAAAAAAAAAAAAAAGAAAGAAAGAAAGAAATAGGAGCTGGAAAAGTGCTCAGAAGTTGAGACCACCTTCTGCTCCTAAAGAAGACCTGTATTTGATTATTCCTAGCACAGGTCAGAGTAAATCACAGAGAATCTGAGTAAACACACACCACTTTTTTTTTTTTTTTTTTTTTTTTTTTAAGAAAAGGAAAACAAAATGGATTAGAGCCAGCTGTGGCTCTTACCTTCAAGTCCCATAATGTGTGAGGTGGATCTCTGTGAGTTCAAGGCCAGCCTGTGAGTTTCAGATCTACTAAGGCCAAGACCTTGTCTACAAGGATTGATTATATAGCTTAGTGATGGAGTGAGTGTGTATCTTTATGTACAAGGGTACAAGTTCTATCTTTAGTAGTGTAAAAACTCCACCATGTTTCTAGATGGGTTTTTTAACGTGGTATTCTAAAGTCTGAACTTGTAATGGCTCAGTGGGTAGAATGCTTGCTATGCAGCATTGGGACTTGAGCTTGGATCTCCAGCATCCACATAAAAGTATAGTGTTGGGGATAAAGATAGGCAAATTCTTGGAGCCCACTGGCTGGTCAGCCTGTCTAACCATAGTGGTGAGCCCAGGCTCAGTACAAGACCCTGTCTCAAAAAAATAAGGTTGAAGATGATAGAGGAGGCTACCCAGTGTCAACCTCTGGTCTCCATGTGAGCACTAGTGAGGATACCCATGTGTACACACACACAGTCTCTCTCAGAAATTGTAAATAAAATCTGAACTTGCTTTTGCATGCTTGCACTGAGAGGGAGGATATTCAGGCAGTGGGTATCTACAACCAAATCTGACTATAAAGAACTTTTTCTCTGTAGGTAGGTCTTTCCAGTCCTGCATTTTCCTGTCAAAAAGCCAAATTGGAAATTACCTTTAAAAAGCCCCGCCAGCTGGGCTGAGTCAGAGTTAGGCTTTTCTGCTGAAATCCATTCCTTGTGTTGGAGGATCTAATTCTAAAATTAGTAGTAAGCCAACTTAGAGCACTGAAATTTCTTGGAATAAGTACATCTGCCTTCTCATTACATCTTTCTAACTGTTCCCTGATGTGTAGAGAGAGGCTGTGGCTTAGGCAGCATTGGAAGAGACATCCCCTCCCCCCTTTTCTAGAAGCCATTAGTCTCCCTGGGCATTTTCCAGGCATTATGACCTGATTTAAGAAGACCCAAATCTGTGTCCGTCTTGCTCTGTGTGGTTTAGTTTGCACAGGGTGGTAGGAAAGCACTTCTTTCCAAAGCATGAAGTTCTGGTTGGACTAACGCACAGTCAGTTGAGACCTCATGGTGTTAGTCAAGCTACAGGGTGTGAACAGAACTTGCTAGAGGATAGACCTTCTATTATAACATGAACTCTTCCCGCCAGCCTGGTCCCATAGCCACATCAACCGCAAATGAACACACAAGACTTATATTAATTATAAAGCTGTTGGCCGTTGGCTATGGTTTCTTTTTGTTTGTTTGTTTGTTCTTCAAGACAGGGTTTCTCTGTGGCTTTGGAGGCTGTCCTGGAACTAGCTCTTACAGACCAGGCTGGTCTCGAACTCACAGAGATCCACCTGCCTCTGCCTCCCAAGTGATGGAATTTAAGGCACGCGCCACCAATGCCTGGCTGGCTATGGTTTCTTATTGGTTAGCTCTGACTTAATTATTAACCCATAACTACTAATCTGTGTATTTCCTCATGGCCTTATCTTACCGGAGAAAGGTCCAGGGACTTGTTACTCCTCTGGCGTCTTACATGTCGACTGCTCAGCACAGAGAAGAGAAGAGAGTGATTTCCTGTTTGTCCTTGCTTATGTTCTGATTCTGCCCAGCTACATCACTTCCTGCCTGTCTGTAGTCTGTATAGACTGCCAGACCTCTATGGTTAGCTAGTGGCAAGCTCCATTCTCTGACTCCCAGACAGGCTTTATTTGTGCAAGAAAGATACACCACATTTTATAGTCTGTGTCATGGATGTCACAGATTGTTTTGAAGATTTATTTATTTATTATATATACAGTGTTTTTCGCATATATTCTTGCACACCAGAAGAGGGTACCAGATCTCATTACAGATGGTTGTGATGTAGTTGCTGGGAATTGAACTCAGTACCTCTATAAGAGCAACCAATGCTCCTCTGGGTCATCGATGTCTCTAGCCCCTGTGGTGGCTGATCTTAACCATAAAGTCACCTTTACCTTGCCTTCTGCTCTGTTTAGCTGGTAGGGCCAGGGGTGTAAAAGATGTTGAAATGGATGGAGGTTTGAATTAAGTAGTCACAAAGGTTGTGATATTCATTATTTGGTGTGTTAATTTTTCTCCTCCCAGAAATGGCCCTGAATTTGAAGCCAGGATCCGACAGAATGAGATCAACAACCCCAAGTTCAACTTTTTAAATCCCAATGACCCTTACCATGCCTACTACCGCCACAAGGTCAGCGAGTTTAAGGAGGGGAAGGCTCAGGAACCCTCAGCTGCCATCCCCAAGGTCATGCAGCAGCAGCAGCAAGCCACTCAACAACAGCTGCCCCAGAAGGTTTGGAACCCATCTCCTCTTTGTGGGTTAAGGAGGACATAAGGTGGGTGGGCATATCTGCTGTCCACCGTCATAGCCACCATGGACAGAAGTAAAATTACCCTCATGTTCCAGAAGCATTGATGATACATAGCACTTTTTGATCACTGGTTGGTCAAGCTCTGTGCTCTGGGTTCAGATCATGAAAAGCCCAACAGAACAACTGTTTAATAGATGGCAAAGGTGAGGCTTGTCTAAATACGAAATATTAATTCAAGGAGTAAGAATTAGTTGTAGTATGAAAACAAATTTTGACCTGGATGAGCTAAGGGAGATACTGTAGCCTTGTGCCATTTCTTCCCTTTCGTTTGTGCTGTTTGGGCCCAGGGGTGTTGCAGAACTAGGGACAGTCAAAAATGTCAATGAAGATGGAAAGTGCAGTTTGTCTACTTTGTAGACAAACTGGTCTCTTCATTTTGCACCATTCCCAGACTTTTGTGGGAAAAGCAGCCTTTTGTTTAGCCATAAGAAATAAAAGTTGAAGTCATGTTTAAAGACCTTGCATTTCAGTTGCTGCTTGTAGGGCCTGAGTTTCTCGTTTATAAAAAGCATTCATAGTATCTGTTCTGTCTGCTTCAAGGTTCTCTTGGAGGGCCTTGATGTACTTTATACGGTGGGATTCACCACACATACACATGCACATGGGCCTTGCAGTACAGCCTCTTAAGTTAGATTTTATAGCCTATTTCCTGTATATTTTTGCCACCTCTTTAGGCCTTTGATTTCAGGATGGGATCAGAGATGTAGATACTTAAAACAGATTAGGGAGTTGAGGCATAGTTGGATGAGACACCAATGCTCTTGGTTGCCAGTCTTCTTATAGCAAGTCCCAGTGATGCTTACAATGAATAAAACATTGGAGTCTTTGGACATTCTGTGGAGTTAATTTACTTCTGTTCTGTTCTTGTTCTACACTTTCTGTCTTAGGTCCAAGCCCAGGTGATCCAAGAGACCATAGTACCAAAGGAGCCCCCTCCTGAGTTTGAGTTCATTGCTGATCCCCCCTCCATCTCAGCCTTCGACCTGGATGTAGTGAAGCTGACAGCTCAGTTTGTGGCCAGGAATGGACGCCAGTTTCTGACCCAGCTGATGCAAAAAGAGCAGCGAAACTACCAGTTTGACTTTCTCCGCCCACAGCACAGCCTCTTCAATTACTTCACAAAGCTGGTGGAGCAGTATACCAAGGTGCTGGGTCAGGGCAGAGGATAGTGTCTCACCACTGGGAGTACAGCATTCACTCTGTCAGCAAGGGCACTTGCTTTGTGGAGTATCTGGGGGAATGTGAATCCCAACTTAATGTAAAATCTTGACTCTGCGAGCTCGAGCGCGTGCGTGCGTGTGTGTGCGTGTGTAAGACTGCAGGTGCTTTTGTGCCTTGCCATGGAACACACTTGGAGTCAGAACAGTGTTCAGTTCTTTCCTTCTACTGAGGATCAAACTTAGTACATCTGGTTTTCATAGCCTCACTATGTAACCCTAACCCTGGCTGACCTTGAGCTCACTATAAGGACCATTTTGGCCTCAAACTCAGAGATCCTCTTGTCTATGGGATTAAAGGCATGGGTCCCCACACCCAGCTTCTATCATTATCTCTTTAAGTCTTGTTATTACAGAGACATGTTTATAAAGTGTTAGTAGGTGACCATCTGCTGTGTGACAAGACTAGGTAGCACTAGCTGCTTTTAGGTGTTTGTACATTTTCACTTGTCTGCTGTATGGCCTGAGAAGCAAGCTCTTAACAGTTGCTTCCTATTTAATTTACCCTTGCAAAACTTTAGTGATGTTTCCCTAACTTTCACAAGCAGCAACAGACTAAGAAAGATGATTTCATGGAGCTACAGTTATTCCACAGGAATAGAATGTATAAGGCCCAGGGTCCACCACTGGAGGGATAAAAAGACAAAAAAGGAATGAAATGTGAAGTCATTCAGAAAATCTATGACTTCAAGTTAGTAAGTGTTACAACCTTTGTTATTTTTACCCTGTGGAGTAACTTACACTAGGAAAAGTTCATTATGAGTTTACTAATAATGAAAACATGCAGCATCTTCCCATTTGGTCCTGGTGATGTGTAGCCTGAGCTACAGACTGAAACTTCTTTGTTTGGTTTTGGGGGGATGGGCTTCTCTGTGTAACAGTCCTGGCTGTCCTGGAACTCATTCTGTAGGCCAGGCTGGCCTGGAACTCACTGAGATCCACCTGCCTCTGCCTCTGCCTCTGGAGTGCTGTGATTAACAGTGTTTGCTATCACTGTCTGGCTTTGAATCTGTATTTTAAAAAAGAATCTGACACAGCAATCTGGTATTTAAAATTAATCAGTTAACTGGGTGCAGTAGCTAACACTTTTAATCCTACCCAGCTCTAGGAAGATTGAGGCATGAGGATTACCAGGAGTTCCAGACCAGCATGAGCTCTTTGAGAGACTTTCTGCTTTAAAAATAATTTTTTTTTAAAATGAGTTATAAAGGCAACTCACAGTAGAGGTTTACCAATGGCACATTTTTCTTGTTTTCCTTTTTAGTGGAATGATCTACACATCTGTTCTTAATATTAGAAATAGTGTTAAAGATCTAAGTTGAAAGGACTCACATGGACTAGCTCTAAGTATAAAATTAAAAATATAAAAAACGTGTCTTTAGGCTGGGCATTGGCGGCTCACATCTTTAATCCCAGCACTCGGGAGGCAGAGGCAGGGGGATCTCTGTGAGTTTGAGGCCAGCCTGGTCTACAGAGTAAGTTCCAGGACAACCTCCAAAGCAATACAGAGAAACCCTGTTTTGAAAACAAACAAACCAAAAAACAAACATGTCTTTAGAATCTAGAATCTAATAGAACAATGACTGAAATCCAAAACCAAAGGGTTACTGTAAGTATACCGTATCAGGTTTTTGAGGGTTTTTGCATTTATTTATTTTTATTTTGCATGTATGAGTGTTGTATGTATATCTCTGCACCACTCCTGTGCCTGGTGCCATGGAGATTAGAAGAGGCCATCAGATCCCCTGGAACTAGAGTTACAGATGGTTGTGAGCTACCATATAGGTGCTGGGATTTGAACCCAGGTCCTCTGAAGAACAGCCACTGCTTTTAGCTGTATTGCAATTTCTTCAGCCCCATACTATCAGTTCTGAGTAAAGCCTGGGTTCAATTTGAACTGCTTCCATAGTTAGAAATCCTTAGTGTCTATATTGTTACTTTTGTGTTTCTTCCTCTAAATTTGGATATTGGCATTGACTCATAACTTGAAGGCACTGGTGTCTACCCATGGAACACTGTACTAGCAGGTAGATTCTAGGGATAAAGGTACAAGGGCAAGGCAAGGTAAAAAATTGTGCTGCTTTGTGAGTGGAAGTAGATATTGCTGGCACAATTGGAATGGTTAGAATAAAGGCAGTAAGTGTTCCATTTCTTAGTAAATGCACATTTGTGTTTTTTTGGAAAAAAAAATGTTTTTTGGGGGGGGCAAAAAAGGGGGGGGGGGGGGGGGGGGGGGGGTGGTTCAGATGGAGATATATACTCTAAAAAGGCAGGGGATGGAAATACTGGAGAATAGGGAGGAGGTGGTTTTGGTCTTGAGCAGAACAGCAGAGGAGGACTGAATAACATTTTCAAAATTACAGGAGCACGTCAGTGTCATTTAATGTAGCATGTTCTGGGTAACCTGCCAATGGTTTGTGTACTTTACTGGGAGTCCTGGAAATGGCCTTCTCTCGAGTGGTGGTGTCGATATTTTGAGAAGGAAAAACAAGTTCTAGTTGTTAAAAAACTTGCATAAAGTCCGACATGTAGATCTGGAATTGTGGTTGAGAATCCATCTCTTATGTCCTGTGATGGGCCCAGCAAGGCTAACTCTTTGTTTTATACTGTGATATACTGACAGTTGCTCTAATTCTCTTTCAGATCTTGATTCCACCCAAAGGCTTATTTGCGAAGCTCAAGAAAGAGGCTGAAAATCCCCGAGAAGTTTTGGACCAGGTAAACACAGGATTTCCTGCTACCAGGTACCAATGCAGCAGGTTCTTTGTGTGGGTTTTGTTTTTGTTTAGAAACTGTCTTTGAGTCAGTACAGGTTGACCTTTCCTAATCTGAAATTTAAAACACTCTGAAATCCGAAACTTTTGAGTGCCCATGTGACACTAGAAATTCAAAATTCCACATCTGACCTCGTGTGATGGGTCACTTTCAAAATGCAGGTTCACTAACATTGTATAAAATTAATCCCTTCAGGGGGCTGGAGAGATGGCTCAGCGGTTAAGAGTACTGACTGTTCTTCTAGAGGACCCGGCTTCAATTCCCAGCACCCATATGGCAGCTTACAACTGTCTGTAGCTCTTGTTGTAGGGAATCTAACACTTCACCCCACTGCACATAAAAAAAGGTTAAATAAATTATTTAAAAGAAAAATGAACCCCTTCAGGCCATGTATATGAGGTGCTTATAGAAAATAATGACTTTCAGGTTTAGACATCTGGTGCATCTCATTCATCATGTATATGAAAATATTCCAAAATTAGACATACTTCTGGTCCCAAAGCATCTCAGAAAAGGGCTAGTCAGCCTGGACCTAGTTGTAGGGTGCTGAGAAGAAAGACCTTGTGACTACAGAGGCCATCCAGAAGTTTAGCGGGTTTCTCTTCCCTACTTCAGGCAGAAACTACCTCCCGAGCAGATCCTCGGGTGAGAGAGGTAGTAGGTGTCTTTTGAAGTCACCAGGTTCTCACAATTGAGCAGACGTGGTTTGTGCTGGTTTGTTTTAACTGTGAGATGGCTGTTTCAGACTCTTAGATTGAGGCTGCTTTTGTATATACCAGGTTTTCTTCTTAATATTTTAAAATGTTTGTGTCTCACCTCTAATCCCAGAATAAGTTCAGGGCCACTCAGGGATACAGAGTGAGACCCTTGTCTCAAAAACACAAAGTGCTCCCCCACAAAAAAAGTTTTTGATAGCTTCATACAAGTATATGCTATTTTTTAGATATCTTCGTCTCCCCTTACTCTTTCATTTCCCTTGCCTCTTCCATTGAAACCCTTTTCAATAAGGTCTCCTCCTTTCATTTCATCTTTTGTGTGGCCCTACTGTGTTTGTTGGAGTTGCTTACACAAACATGGGATGAGAGATTATTTACTGGAGTGTGGCCAACCTGTCAGTGACTACACCACTAAAGAAAATGACACCCTTACCTAAGCCACCCTTCACTGCCAGTATTTCCTCAAGGAGGAATGCCCAGCCTCCATTTGTGATGAACTGCTAATGGGTCCAGTATTGTGTAGGTAACCACAGCTGCAGTGAGTTGATGAGTACAAAGGCTTTGTTGTGTCCAGAAGATGTCTTTTTGCTGTACATTTCCCCATCTTCTGGTTCTTACATTCTTTCTACTCCCTGGCCTATAAATATTCACTGAGCCTTGGAAGGGGTGATATGAATGTCCTCTTAAGGGCTGCACATCACCACTGCCATTTACCCTTGACATGCGACCGGTCTTTGCATTTGATCATAGTCCCTGCTTTAACTGCCACAAAGTTTAATAAGAAGTTGCTCTGTTGAGAACCAATCATGATATAAACATTGAACACTTTAACAATATGACTATCTAGCAAAAGAGACAAAAAAGGTGACAGGTTCCCCCTAGAGCCTATGGCACTTGCAGCTCTTGACAAGGTTTACAGTACCACTTACTAGGTTTTCATGCACATTTACTACAAGAGAGTTTGCGGCTGTGAGCCTGGAGCCCTTTGCCAACTCTGGAACACTAAAGTTTCCCCTTGTGAGCATAGTTGCATCTTGGTCTGAAGGCAATGCCCTGAAGCATCATTGGAGGCACCTTGCTATGTTCTATCCTCACAGGTGTGCTATCGAGTAGAATGGGCCAAATTCCAGGAGCGTGAGAGAAAGAAGGAAGAAGAAGAGAAAGAGAAGGAGCGGGTGGCCTATGCTCAGATCGACTGGCATGATTTTGTTGTGGTGGAGACAGTGGATTTCCAACCCAATGAGCAAGGTAGGTAGGTCGAGAAGAGAACGCCTCCAGGAACTCTGGCGCTCCCAGGGAGCTGCAGAACCAGGCACAGGACTTCATTACTGTTTTTTCCCTCTGTTTCAGAAGGGGAAACATCGTTCATTTGCCCAAGTTAAATGCAATTCATCAGCTGGTTACCATGTTAGACTCTGATGTCCTCTGCAGATAATAAAATTAGACAATTCCTAGTCTTTGGGTAGCTCACAGACAGGACAAGGAATTTCTTCTTGTTATTGTGTTCTTTGTTTTTGTTTTTTTCTTTTTTCTTTTTCTTTTTTTTTTTTTTTAGGAGACAGGGCATATTAATCAGGGTTTTCTAGAGGAACAGAACTGATAGAATGAATCTGTATACATAAAAGGGGAGTTTATTAGAGTGACTTACAGGCTGTGATCTAGCTAGTCCAACAATGGCTGTTTCTAGACAGAAAGTCCAGGAGAGTGGATGTCTTAGCTGGTCTTCTGGAATCCTGACTAGGGAAAGAATGCCTCAGTAGCAGGTTGGCAAGCTTTCCATCAAGAGTCAGGGCAAGTAGGCAAAAAGCAAAATCTTCCTTCCATGGCTTCCAAAAGAAGGTGTGGCCCAGATTTAGATTGGCTCTTCCCTAAAATGATTAGTCCAAAAAAAAATTTCCTCACAGGTCCAGCTGCTTGGGTTTAGTTAATTCCAGATGTAGTTAAGTTGACAACCAAGAATAATCATCAAGCTAGGTCTCTGTAGCCCTGGCTATCCTAGAACTGGTGTAAAACCAGGCTGACTACAAACTTACAGAAAATCCACTTGCCTCAGCGCTCCTTCCAAGTGTTAGGAATGAAGGTGCTTGACACCATACCCAACTCAGAATGCTTTTGACCCCGTCTTACCCCTTTTAGGAAACTTCCCACCCCCAACAACACCAGAGGAATTGGGAGCCCGAATCCTCATTCAAGAGCGCTATGAGAAGTTTGGGGAAAGTGAGGAAGTGGAGATGGAGGTTGAGTCTGACGAGGAAGATGAGAAGCAAGAAAAGGCTGAGGAGGCTCCTTCCCAACTGGACCAGGATACTCAAGTACAGGACATGGATGAGGTAAATTCTCAGGTGGTTTTAACCTGATCTTTCTCCTGGAGACCAGGAAGTTGGGGGACGCTCTCCTGGTCTAAGGTTCCGCTCTTTGAGACTCAAAAGATTTTGAGTTCTGGAGAAGGCCAGACTGGCTGCTGCTGTTTTAAGTCCAGGCAGCCCAACACACTCCAGCAACAAAGACCAATTCATAGGAAAGATCTCGAAGCTGTGCCAGCCTTGTAGTCTATTGCTTTCCCTTTGGCTTGGCATCCCTGATCCCAACCCACCCTCCACCAGCCCTGTTAAGGGATCCATATCACCCTGTGTTTTGATGCCTTTCTAGCACTCAGGCCTAAAGGATCACTAGTTCCCAAGCTTGTCTAAATGTAGCCTACACGTCCTTTCAGACATTTCTACCCTCTTCCAGCATAGTCCTCCAAGTAGGCACAGAATCCTGAGCCAAGCTGCTTTCCCTGTTCTGAAAGAATTTGTGTATAGCTTGAGAAGAAAGGGCCCCAGTGTCTGTGGGAATTGACTTTTTCTCTCCCTCCCAGCATTGCTCTGGGAGCAGCTACCATTGAGCGCTGACTTGGCTCCTGTATTCTTCTGTGTGTTAAGTGCCTTTGGCCTCTTGGGATTGCCTGGTGCCAGCCGCTGGAAATGCCTGGGAGGAGTGTTAGCACCATGGTCCCTGATGCTCCCATTCATGTTGTGAGGAAACAGCTTGGCTTGCTGCCAGTTGACCTCAGCTGCTCCAGAAGGCTTAGCACATGGATGCTGGCTGCAGGGACCAAGGCTCCTTGCCACCCTGAGAGCCACAGTCTTGAGCTTTGGGGACGCACCCTTTCATCTCCTGAGTTATGCTACTGCTTTGCTTTTTAGGGCTCAGATGATGATGAAGAAGGACAGAAAGTGCCTCCACCCCCGGAGACACCCATGCCTCCACCTCTGCCCCCAACTCCAGACCAAGTCATTGTGCGAAAGGACTATGATCCCAAAGGTAGGGCCTGTGTCCCAGTCCTTGTGCTGCTAAAGAAAGTCCTGCATGGTCTTGTGTGTTCTTCAGGTGGGCTGTTTCTAGGAGGGCTTGAGGTAACCCCTAGGTTACAAGCCTTTTGATAAGAAACTAGAGTGTAGTCATTTCCAGTTTCAGGTTTCTGGTGTAAAAGTGGCACTAAAGAGATGTTTCCAGTGAATGATGTTTGAATGTATTGCTTTCTTAACCTCAGCTACTATCCAGAATTCTCACTTAGTTATCTGTTTCCTTTTAGCTTCTAAGCCCCTTCCTCCAGCTCCTGCTCCTGATGAATATCTTGTATCCCCCATCACTGGGGAGAAGATTCCTGCCAGCAAAATGCAAGAGCACATGCGTATTGGGCTTCTTGACCCCCGCTGGCTGGAGCAGCGGGATCGCTCCATCCGAGAGAAACAGAGTGATGATGAGGTTTATGCACCAGGTGAGCGGGAGGTTCCCAGCCCATAGCTTCCTTTATGTAGACACAGAACAGTTGAGGTCAGTGAGAATTTGGGAGATAGGTGCAGCCTATGATACTGTAAAAGAAATTTGTATTTTCCAGAACACTGTATAGGGAAGTCCTCCAAAGACTGGTACTGACCAGCTGTCACATGCCTGTTGATAATTCCATAACAAGATACTGGCAATAGCTGGGAGGGATACTTAGTCATTTGCTCTCTTGGACAGACTTGTGATTCAAATTCTCTCTCCTGGAGTGACACTCACTAGTCTTATTGCTAAAGCCAAAGCAAGAGGATAGGGCTGCACATGGTGGCACATGCCTTTAAACCCAGCATTCTGGAGGCAGAGGCAGGTGGAGCTCTGTGAGTAGAGGCCAGCCTGGTCTACATGGAGAATTCCAGAACAGTCAGCACCACATAGAGTCACAAAACAAAACAAAAAACAACGCAGCAGTATAGGAAGGGGACTGCCAAAGGCTAGAGACTGGGTCTTTAGTCCTGTTAATAAGAGTTGGACAAGTACCAGGTCTTTAGGCTTACTGCTTCTCTGGCAACCCTCCCCAGACAAAGAATGAGTGACATGTTAGAGCTGACAGGCAGCCTGTATTGTGAATCCAGCCTCCACACTCCATTTCCAGAAAGCTGCTGACTTGTCAGAAGGGCACCAGGCCTAGCTTCTCTTTCTCTCCGTTCTGTTGTTGTACACAGGTCTGGATATTGAGAGTAGCTTAAAGCAGTTGGCTGAGCGCCGTACTGACATCTTTGGGGTAGAAGAAACAGCCATTGGTAAGAAGATTGGTGAAGAAGAGATCCAGAAGCCAGAAGAAAAGGTGCAGTTCCCATGAGTCCTAGTGCCTTCCCTGCTTTCTGTCTCCTTCATGTCGGCTCAGTTCCAGGAGTCCTGACAAGCTGTGTCTTTGTATTCCCATGCAGGTGACTTGGGATGGCCATTCAGGCAGCATGGCCCGGACCCAGCAGGCTGCCCAGGCCAACATCACCCTCCAGGAGCAGATTGAGGCCATCCATAAGGCAAAGGGCCTAGTGCCAGAAGATGACACTAAGGAGAAAATTGGCCCTAGCAAGCCCAATGAAATTCCCCAGCAGCCGCCACCACCATCTTCAGCCACCAATATTCCCAGCTCAGCACCCCCCATCACATCAGTGCCCCGGCCACCTGCGGTGAGTCAGAAGCTACCCTGTGACCAAGTGTTCTCAACTTAGGTCCTTATGGTGGGATGATGCTAGTGTCTGGAAAGGGTAACTGTTTTAGAGTACGGCTAGTTTGTCAAGTTGAAACAAACTTCTAGTTTTGTCTTCCACTGCAGAGCAGAATTGGAATAGGGAGTATGCTAAGTAACGAAACAGATTTAAGGCAAAGAAGGGCTGTGGGCTTAATGGGTCTTTGAGAACTGATGGCCTGTATCCAGAAGATCAAGTCAAGGTCAACCTCTGAAGTGGTGTTGTCTACCATGAAGAGTTGGTTCTGAACCACCAAGCCCCACGTAGAAAGAGTATTACCCTGGAACTCCATATAGCAAGATGCTATATGGGCCTGATGTGAGACTTTAGTCTCAGTGATCCCAGCTGTACAACCCCCATCCTGAATGGCCAGTTGTTGTGCCCTTGAAGCTTAGCCTTGGTTTTCTGTGACTTGTGTGTCTCCTCCCACCCTCAGATGCCGCCTCCAGTTCGTACCACTGTTGTATCTGCGGTACCTGTCATGCCCCGGCCACCCATGGCCTCTGTAGTCCGACTGCCTCCAGGCTCAGTGATTGCCCCCATGCCACCCATCATCCATGCACCTAGGATCAACGTGGTACCCATGCCTCCCGCTGCACCTCCTATTATGGCACCTCGCCCACCTCCCATGATTGTGCCAACAGGTCAGTCTGAGTGTGGTTTTCATCTGTTGGGTCACTCCACAGAGCCATGGCTGGTGTTCATGGCAACTATTCCCACTGGGTATCAATCCAAAGGAAATACAAACTAGGAACTGGGAGCCATAGTTACTGAGGAAGTCAAGAAACTGCGATGGCATAGCTATAGCTAATGTGTCTACGTTTGGTGGCCAGGTGCTTAACAGGCTCACAAGCCTGACAATTGACTCTTGTCTGGCTGATCTTGCCCTGCCTCTAGTCCTCTGCTGCTTAATCTGGAAAGCCTCCCAAGGCTCCCTGCCAGGAAACCTGTTGAGTGCCAGACTTATCAAAGCAGGGCACTTTATACCTCTAAGGAGCAAAGCCTTTAATGTCTCCCCAGTCCTGCCTCCTGAGCCTCTGAACCCCTTCTGTACTCATTGGGTGGCTGTGCCTTGTCTTTGCAGCCTTTGTGCCTGCCCCACCTGTGGCTCCAGTCCCAGCCCCAGCACCAATGCCTCCTGTACACCCCCCACCTCCTATGGAAGATGAGCCTCCATCTAAGAAACTCAAGACTGAGGACAGCCTCATGCCTGAGGAAGAGTTCCTGCGCAGGAACAAGGTTTGTGATCCAGAATGCTGCCTGTTCTCCCGAGTTCCTGGCAGCATCATGGGATGCCCAGGCCCCAGCTGTGTTCCCCTACCATGCTGTTAGCTTCTGGGGTATGTGTGTAACGTGAGGTCAACAGCTGGGGGAACAGAAAGTTGTAGAGGTAGTGGTTCTGGTACTATGGACTCTTGTTAGAATCTAGTATGGAGATGCAGCTGAGTGAAGTGCCAGGAGCACTATACTAAATCTGGGCACGGTTCTTAAATACAGTTCTACCTCCAGCCCTGGGATTCTAGAACAAAGATCCTACCTTGGCCTGCTGGTCCCTAGGAAAGCATTAGGATTCAATGAGGAGACAGAAAGAATCCCATCTCCCACTAGATTTGCCCCATGAGTTTGACCAAATAGTTTTCCTAAGACTAGAATCTATTTTCTTTCTTCTTTGTTTTTTTTTTTTTTTTTTTTTTTTTTTTTTTTTTTTTTTTTTTTTTTTTTTTTTTTTTTTTCCTTATGGTTTTTTTGAGACAGGATTTCTCTGTGTAGCTTTGCAGCCTGTCCTAGAACTAGCTCTATAGACCAGGCTGGTCTCAAACTCACAGAGATCTGCCTGCCTCTGCCCCCCCTGAGTACTGGGATTAAAGGCATGTGCCACCACCGTCAGACTAGAATCTATTTCTTGAGCACCTACCAAAGGTTCAGACTATTCTCTGTTTAAAAGTGTCCCGAGCAGCCTGTTTCACAGGCAAGTAGCATTGAGCTCCGGTGTCTTGTCCACTCTGGAGCTAGTTGTGAACCCAGTACCTCACAGACCACATTATTTACTCTACTGGTCCTTGGGGTTGCAGAATGTTTTCACCTTAGTTCCATATTAACTGTAAAGCAAGACAGGTATATTTAAGGAAGGGAAAGGGGGAAAGGAAACTGAGCATAGTAATATATACTTAAAATCTCAGCACTCTAGAGGCAGAACGATTAAGACCAGCCTGGGCTACATATGAAACCCTGTCTAAAAACTAAAAAAAGAAAAAAGAAAGCCTTACATGGTGTGTCACAAGTAGCATCAATAGTAAATGGGCCAGAGGGACAGTAGTCATTGTTTGGATGGGCCCACTATTAGTAGAGCGTAGTTTCTGGTTGGCTTGGAGTTCTCCAAGCATAATGTGCACTCCATTTTGCAGGGTCCAGTGTCCATCAAAGTGCAGGTACCCAACATGCAGGATAAGACAGAATGGAAGCTGAATGGGCAAGGGCTGGTCTTCACTCTGCCACTCACAGACCAGGTATGTGTTGCCACCCCCAATTGTTACAGGTGCTTAGCCAACGGGTTGTTTTTTCCAGCTGGTCTTAGCAAGGGAATGAATGACCTTTCTTTGGTCCCACAGGTCTCTGTCATCAAAGTGAAGATTCATGAAGCCACAGGCATGCCTGCAGGGAAACAGAAACTACAGTATGAAGTAAGCCAGGGTAACCCCAGTCCTGTCCATTAGGTTCCAACACCTCTGTCATCCCAGAAACAATCTTCTGTTACAAAGTAGGATAGAGAGAGACCTGGATGTGGCCATCTGAGTCCATCCTAGAAATAATACAGGTGGGATACTGGGGCAGGTGAACCTGACAGTGCAGGATTCTGACAGCATAGTCTAATGCAGGGTCTAAAAACCTTTTAGAGCTGGATGGGGACCAGCCCAGTGATGTGATCTTAGCCTGGCCCTCTCTGCAAAGGGGGTCTTCCAGGTCTTCTGGTGCCTCATCTCTTCTGTAAAATGAGGGTGTTGAATTAGGTAATCACTAAAAGTCCTATGACCTGAGAAGTTGGCTGTTTCTTGGAGTCGGTCATGGGTAGCATCTTGGGAGTTGAAAATTGAACCAGGTGTTGACTAAAGGTCCCTTATGTTTGTCAATATCAGTTAGAAGGAAAAAGTGTTCTAGAAGAAGCCAAAGTTCCATAATCCACTGACCTGACCTTCCCTTTAGCATCCATATTGGTGAAGTCTAGAATATTAACAGCTAAGCTCAGTTGTGTGAGGCTGCATTGATGTGGTCAAAGACAGGTGCCATACCTAAGACGTTTGTTTGTATTCCAGGGCATTTTCATCAAGGATTCCAACTCCCTGGCTTACTACAACATGGCCAGTGGTGCTGTCATCCACTTGGCCCTCAAGGAGAGAGGCGGCAGGAAGAAGTAGTGAAGAGATACCTACAGTTGGGCTCCTGCATTGGACCTCTTCTTTTACCACCACTTCCAGGAGCTTTTCTGGGACCTCAGGCACAGCCCGTGTATTTGTTTTCCTCTTAATCAGTTTCGAAATTCACCTTGTCATTTAGGAGAGGTGTTGCCCATTATCTAACCTGACATGGGTAAGAATAGCAGAGCTTTCTAAGCCAGTCTGTGGAATGATTTCTTGTTAGGTTCTGAATTTGAGATCCTTCAGGAAGCCCATTAGGAATTCAAAACTCAGTGTTTCCTACAGGATAGTTTCATAATACCGAGTGATGTTTGGCGGATAGAATATGGTTACTGTCATCATTTTATATCATGCTTTGGTTTCTAATCTCTTGAAGCCAAGCATGGTACATGCATGCTTGTAATCCTGGGACTTGGGAGGTTTAGGCAGGAGAATTAGATGTTCAGAGTTACCCTCAACTGTACAGCTTGAGGCCCACCTGGGCTGTGGGAGATACTGTGTTAAAAAAATATTTTTAAAAATTAAAAACAAAACACCTCTTGGACCCTCATAGAAACAGTTTATTAAGATCTGACTCTTGGCCAAGTGTGCCTACCACCTAGTACTGTGGAGCTCTTGGGGTCTCAGTAGTTATGGTCTCTGTATATAAATTTTTGCTGCCGTCATTAGTCTTTCTTCTGAAAATCATCATGGGCTGGGGAGGTGGCTTGATGAATAAAGTGCTTATGGTGCAAGAATCCATTGTAAAAGCCACTAGCACAAACTGCTGTAACCCTTGTGCACTGGGAGATCGAAGACTAAGCCAGAATCATCTGGAGCAGGCCCGTGAACACTAGACCGTCTCTAAAGCTAGATGGAAGGCAAGGCCTGACATCCATGAATGTCTTCTGGTCTCATATGTGCCATGACACACCTCTACAAGAAACACACATTTTATATTTGTGAAACATTGGGACCCTCCAACATGCAGTATCCCACAGAACAAGGACCACCACAATAGCAGTTTTCTTCAAATCTAGAATCACCCATGAACTGATTGGCATAGTGGTTTTAGGTTAGGTGCTTCATTCAGTGTGATCAAAGGGTATTGTTTATGATGTGTGTTATTAATTATGCCAAGTCTATGTGCTTATCTAAGGGCCTCAAATTTAGTTTACTACCTAACGTGTTTTGTTGTTAGGGTTTTGTTGTTGTTGTTCTTTTTTTATTTGTTTTATTTTGAGACAGCTGGCCTGGACTTGCTATATAGACCAGGTTGGCTTTGAATGTACAGAAATCAGCTTGCCACTGCCTCTCAAATACTGGGATTAAAGACATAAGTTGTCAGACCTGACACTGCTTCCTGTTCAAGCACTTGTGTGGTAGTCCTTATGTGATTTTTCTTGTTTGAGGTACCAGAGGCAAGTCACATTCCCACAATCACATGGTTCAAAGATGAAGAATATGTGCAAAACATTTGCCTTTTGGTCACTGAGTGAGGTCCTGATGTAGGTTATTATTTTTGGAATTCTGCTATTAGTGGCTTAGGTGCTGCTGTAAGTATTCAGAGGAAGGGAGATGAGAGCTTGTTGATTATGTAAACAAAGCTGGTTTTGTTAGGAGGATTACACATGCTCAGATCCCCTAAGAGTTCCCAGTACCTTTTCATTTGCAGTCCGTTGATGTGATGAGGAAAATGTTCTCAGGATCAAAGCAGTATTCTAGTCCTCACCCTAGCTCTCCACCTTTCCTCTTCCAACCTAAGCTTAGGCAGCTCCGAGGCAGGGCCAGAAACAGCTCCGTCACACACTTCTCACAGTCAATCGTGTTGATGTAATGCCATTCTGCATCCTGTGTGACATTTGCCTTTCACATGGTTACCTGAAGTTTGCCTAGGGACTAGTGCAAAATTTGGCTTTCTGGTGGACTTTTCTGATTTAGGGGCCTGAAAGCAAGCTCACTGCTAGACACTAATTGGGCAGCACTAGAAATCCTCTGGAGGGATTTCCAAGAGGGAAGGACATCAGAAAGCCTTGGTGAATCCCATGTCCAAATACTCCCTTTTGGTATTAAGGACATGGCATGGTGTCAGGGCATATGCCTCTGTAGACTGGCAGACCCCCACAGTGCCTCTGTAGCTGAGGCTGTGACAAGAGGCCAAGAATGGGGCTGGGTGGAATGCAAGTGAATGGGCCCTTTGATCCACACTCCTTGGAGTTAACAGTTCCCAGAAAGAACTCCTGAATGAATGCCTGTCCTGACTCACATTCACTGGAGGCTCATTGACCACAGAGCCTTGTGACCTTTGGTGGCCATAGATGAACCGTTGTTTCCTGGCACTGCACATCCTACAACCTTGCAAGTTTAAAGTGCTTACTTAGCCTTTTGTTTTTTGAGTTTTAAAAGTTTTTTTGTTGTTGTTTTTAAATTTCATTAAAGTGTAAAATAGTTGGGCGTGATGGCACACTCATTTGATGGCAGTTATCTGTGAGTTCGAGGCCAACCAACCTGGTCTACAAAGTGAGTTCCAGAACAGCCAGCTCTGTTACACAGAGAAACCCTGTCTTGAAAGACCAAAAGCCAAAGTCATATGCCCTCCATTATCATCATCTCTTCCTCCTCCCAGCAAACACTTTTCCAACAAGTTTCCTCCTTGTATGTATTTCACTGCATTTAATTAGGGTTGTGTATTTGATTAAGGGCAATTTACCAATGGCTATCCCACTAAAGAATATGCCTGTCTACCCAAGCAACTGTTACTGCCTATATATTGATTCTCAGGGAGGGTGGGACCTTATATAACCTGCCCCCCATCCATGATGAAATGTTGATAGGCCCAGTTTCCAGCAGGCCTTGTGCTATGAGTTTATGTGTACAACAGCCATTAACAATCAGCCCCATTTCACTACAATCATACAATGCTCCTAGATTGCTGCTCTTTCAGAGGACCCTAAATCAGTTCCCAGCATCCATATCAGGTGGGTCACAACTGCCTATACTAAACTCTAGCTGGCCTGTGGGCACCTGTACACAAATAACCTAAGCAGACATACAGATATAGGTAGATAGCCAGGTGGTAGTGGTACACACCTTTAAACCCAGCACTTGTGAGGCAGAGGCAGGTGGATCTCTGAGTTTGAGGCCAGCCTGGTCTATACATCCAGTCCCAGGACAGGCTCCAAAGCTACACAGAGAAAACTTAACAAAACAAAACAACAAAAGAAAACTTTGAAAGTGATCTGGCCTTAAACAAATTAACATTGGGAGGTGGAGAGATGGTTCACTTGGGAGAGTACTTACCAAATAAACTTGAGAACCTGAGTTAGGGTCCCTATACCATAAAAGACATGTTAGTGTTTGCATTGGGAAGGCAGACACAGGAGGATCCCTGGAGCTGGCGGGCCAGTCAATCTAGCTGAATTGGTGAGTTCCTTGAGAGACTGTTTGAGAAAATAAGATGGAGTATAATTGAGGAAGACACTTGACATGAACATCTGGCTCTTCACACATACCCACATGGTTTTTTTGTGTACACATATCCTGACACACATAAACTAACAAAGTACCTGCTTTGTTCTGAAGGCTTCAAAATCAAAGCACACTGGCTCACCAAGTAACTACTAACATTCCAATTTTTTCAGAAGAGGAAAATGATGTTCTCAAAGTTAAATAATTCTGCACAAGGACACCCAGTAATTTAGGACAGCCATTTAACAACCCATATGCCTTGAATTAAGCTGTCAACTCCACTGCTACGGCTGTAGACTGTGATGGAAATTTATGGATTCTGTTACCTCTATCCATTGTTACTGGGAGTTTCCGTGTACGAAATGTTTAAGGACATGTCACACTAAAATCTCAAAATAGGGTTTTGTCTTGTTTGTTCCAGTATTTCATTTTACTGATGAGGAAATGGTCTAAAAGAAGCCAGGCATGGTAGTACAATCCTGGTCCCAGCTATTTGAACTTGATTAGGGCGGGCAGTTGCTTGAACCCAGGAGTTGGGGGCCAGCCTAGGTAACAGACCCTGGCTCAGAAGAAAAACAAGAAGCCTCAGAATCAGTTTGCCTCCTGGTCATCAACTACAGCCTGTCCTGTTTCAGAAAGATGAGTATCCCTGTGATGGTCAGTTTACACTGTTGCCAGGAGACACACCTCTGGGCATATTTGTGAGTTTGTTTCTAGGAAAGTTGAACTGAAGAGGGAGAAAGAGCCACTGAATGTGGGGTTACCATTCCATGAGCTGAGGTCCAGTACTAAGTAAGATGGAAAAAGGAGGTGGTGGCATATGCCTTGTATCCCAGGGGTTACATAGTGAGACTGTCTCAAAAAAAAAAAAAAAAATCTATCGCACAGTGATGATGGACTGTACCCTAACTGCCCCAAATAAATGAACATCCCTCCCTAATTGCTTTTGTCAGGTACATATTCAGCTTACAGGGCTGAATGGTAGTGTGTTGGAATAGAGCCTTAGGACCAAGATTGTGAGGTCCAATTGGGTAGTGCATTGTCTATTCCAGCTATATCTGGTTCCCTTCTCCTTCCCTGGGACAGACCCACTGCCTCCTGGGAGCTGTGTTCTGCCATTGGAAGGGGGGAATGTCCTCCCAGACAGGGTTTAAGAGCAAAATGGCCTGTGCCTGCTCCTATGTCTGCTGTTGCTTTTTGTGTGTGTGTAAAACCAAAGCAAATGGAATGTAGACTGCAAGTCTTCAAGAATATCAGGCTACGTGGCATCAAGAAAATGGCTGGTGAGTCACTCTGGACTAAACCCCTTTCTTGGAGCTTGTTTCAGACGCTTTGCAGCCTGTCTGGAGCTTGGCAGCTCAGGCTGTCTCTTCGCTTCCCTTCTGAACCCGTCTCCCCTTTTAGTTGTTTAGGAAGTATGTCAAATGACATTGTGGTAAACCATAGAATAGATGAATGAGGGACTGTTCCCTAGTTCTAGAAGTTGGATCCGGATTGGCCCAATTCTTCAAATACAAACATATTGTAAGAATAGGGGTCACATCCTAGCACTATCATAAACTAGTCTGGGACCTTAGGAAACTGACTACTTCATAGAACCTCAATTTACCTACCTGTAAAATAGGACATGTATAATAAAATCATTAAAAGATTATAAGAGATGGCACAACCAATTTGGAAAGTAATTTGCTAGTTACTGTTTAACTCAGAGGTTAAACAGGCCATCATTGATGGTTTGGTAGGCAAAGGCCCATGCTGCCAAGCCTGATGACTTGAGTTTGATACCCAGGATCCATAAGGTGGAAGAAAAAAATGACTCCTAAAAATTGTCTCTGATTTCTGCATACATGCCATGTGTGAGCACACACATACACACTACTTTTATTTATTGTTTTTGGTTTTTCAAGACAGGGTTTCTCTGTGTAGACCAGGTTGCCCTGGAAACCACTCTGTACACTCAGAGATCTGCCTGCCTCTGCTTCCTGAGTGCTGGGATTAATTTTTTTCCCATGTCAAGGCAAATTAGGGATTTTTTTTTTCCGAGACAGGGTGGGATTAATATTTTTTAAAGGTTAATTAGAGTTACCATTAAAACCCAAAATTCCACTCCTAGGGAATTCTAAGAAAAGTGAAATACTGTTATCTGAACTAGCATTATTCCTAACAGAAAAAGAAAAATAATTCAAATAACTTTCACTGATGAATAGTGTATAAATGTGGTATGTCAACACAATGAAATTTAATTCAGCCATAAAAAGAATAAAGCAATAGTAAGTGCTCAAATGTAGATAAATCTTAGAAGCAATAAAAAAAAGTTTAAGGTCAGCCTGTACCACATAGCAAGATAAGACCCTCTCAAACAAAAAACTGGACACACAAAACGATTGGTAACCACAGATAACTGAAATGTCTAGAAAAAGCAAAATTTGTAGGCACAAAGTAGAATAGTGGTTGCTGTTACTGAATAGGAGTTTCTTTGGGTGATAAAACTTTTCAAAAATTGGATTGTAATGTTTGCTTGCCTCAGTAAGGATGCTAAAGAACCATAGTATTGTACTATTTGATATAGGGCCATTGTTTGTAGCCCAGTTGGCCCAGAAACTCATAATCTGTTTTGGCCTACTGAGTGCTGAGATTACAGGGTTGCATTAATTTTTATCTATGCGTGGGTGGGTGGACAGGATGATGGAATTCAAACCTAGGAAGTATACACTTTAAACATAAATTGTGGTATGTTAATTGTATCTCAGTAAAACCACTGGAGAGCCAGGCATGGTGGTCCACAACTGTAATCCCAGCATTTGGAAGACTGGGAAGCACCCTGGACTAAAAACTCGGCCACAAAACAATACAAATCAACCCTCACCAAAAAGGTGTTGGGAAGGAAAAAGATTACAAAGGAAAGTAGAGCTCAGGTCAGGTTTTGTTTGTTTCCGTGTTTTGAAACGGATTCTCTCTCTGTGTAACAGTTCTGGATAGAACTCACTTTGTAGATCATGCTGTCCTCG